TACAGGTCACCTTGCCCCATCTCGGGCAACTATAGTCGATCAGAGCAAAGACGCGCCAGGCTAAGTGACCTCGCCCTCAAGTAAAAAAAATTTCCAAATGTAATAATAAATGTAGCGAGCATGAGAAAACGCACAATTTTCATTGCTGTGATCAAAGCGCAATGATGTAACTTAATTGATATTTACGGTATCAAACCATTGATTATGACTGGGTGAGCCTAATTTTTCTGTCGAGATCGACGTGACTTCACATCAAAGGCGAGTTTTTCTTTTTTCCTGTTTTAGACACAACAAACTAGTGAGCATCGCTGCACGAACTGAGACAGTGAAAACTTGCATTTATCTACCACGCATTTCGTCCGACAGTAGCAGACTTCATCAAGGAGTTTTACAATTTGGCAAATAAGCTTGCTTAAATACAAATAGTAAATAAGTTGTCTTTTTTCGACTGAAGCGGGCGGAAAGAATTCACCAGATGTGCGAACGGTGTTGTATATGTGTGACATTTTTCAGACGTTGCATGTACGAGTTCGTGATCTGAGTTAGGGTCACAGATTTCATGCAAATGTTTGACCGCTCAACACATTAGATACTCGTCCATGTAACGTCTCTAATGTAACGTCTTCTCGAGCGTAATTGCTTTTGATTTCTCAATTTATGGTGTCGCAAACACAGTTTTTGGGAGTCACGAAACATGAAACTTATCGGGACCTAGATTCATGTTCTAATAATAATAAATAGCAAATAAAATCACATTCGCTTGAGAAATAAAGTTATAATAACAGAGGTTCTTTGAAGCAATTAGCAGTAGAAAGAGTTTTAGTTCTGGTTAATATTGATTTCTCGTATCCTACTTTCAAGTCTAAGGGAACGCGCTGAGGGAATAAAAAAAACGTACAAGTATGATAATGCAAGAAAGAAAATAAAAATGCAAATAAAGAAAAGGGAGAAAACATAGGAACCCGTGTTGCTTGCCCTTTTGCAGCGTGCAGAGCCAGACCTACAACCTAAACTCCACACCACGCAATGAAACTCGAAAGAGTGCTGTGTACCAACTGGCTCGCACGTGCACGCAGAAAAGGCCATGCTTTAAGTCACGCAATTCAACGCCGGCAACATTCGATCGAGAGAGATGTAGATTTACATGTAGTTATAGAATGCTTGAAAAAAAAATGCAGATATTTGACAATTAAGCAAGCAAATACGCAAAGATATCTGCAGAATATTCTGAAATTGTTATCTAGTAGACAGCATGAACAACCCCTGTGTAAAATTCCTACAAAAAGTCTTCGGGTCACACCACAGATTTTATTTTGACGGAGTTCTGCATGGAAATGTTCGATGGCGATAAGTGACAACAAAAACAATATTTTAGTTTTATTTTCGGAATTGTAGCACAGTTTTTTAATTAACAAATAGAGAAGCCTTGACTGTGTTCTGTTCTGTTATAAAGCACGCAGGAAGCGGCTAGAGCACGAAAGAAGTGTAGGGAGAAACACGAGACGTAGTCGAGTGTTTCTCCCCACTTCTTGAGTATATTACAGTATGTTACTTTTGTTGTCACCGGTAATCGTTGTTTCAGTAGCAGTGTATATTGAAATTTATAGTGTTCTGGCGGGAGAGCAAAGCGTGATGCTCTGGGAATAAAAACTCTTAACGGCCTTTTACACGTGTTCATCCCGGTCGCCACATGATAGCAGAGTAAAATTATTCGAAACGAGTCATCAGGCGATCGGATATGGGTGAGGATGCTTGTCGTACCTTTCAGGGTCAAAATCAGTGATCTGGTACCTTTTACGATGTTTCAAACTTTAGTGGATTACCAGAGACCTAGCTGGTACCTTTTAGGGTGTTTTTCGCTCAATAAAATACCTGAAATAAGCATTACTAGGACGATTTTAATGATCTGACCTGAGCCTCTGGAGCATATCGTTAAAGGAGTTTTTATTTTTAGGATTTTTCAGTTTTTTGTGTTTAAATTGGTACTTTTTAGGGGTAGACATGAGTTGTTTCCACTCCCACACGAATAGGACTCAGGTACCTTTTATAATTTTATAGGGGTCATTTTCGAAATTCCCGGCGCGCATCCTCGCCCTCTTATGTATAGGGTTCCTCGGGGGGTGCTGATACGTGCAGCACACTTGAAATTTAGCAAGGACAAATTTTAATGTGATTTTCGGTGAAGAGAAAAAAGGTTTGTTAGCAAATCTCCTTTTTAGCATGTAAGATGAAACGCTTATACAACAGATCAATTAGCTAAATCAGTATGTAGCTTGTCAATCGAATTGACTTTTGGGAACATTCTTTGACTTCCGCCGGCAAAAGAATCATTGACAGATCTAGACATTTTAGTTTTCTGAATACAGCAATCCTTGGAAGACGACACTATTGTTTGCTTTGGAAATAAAGTTTGTTTTGAAAATTGAAAGTAATGCTTGGGGAATTTAACGGATTCTTCAAAAACAAATAGAGAAGACTTGACTGTGCTCTGTTCCGTTGTAAAGCACTTAGGAAGCGACTAGAGCACTCAAGAAGTTTCTCCCTACACTTCTTTCGTGCTATAGCCGCTTCCTGCGTGCTCTATAACAGAACAGAGCACAGTCATTGTTAAATACAATCGGACACGAGTTTTGAGTGATATAACTACGCCCAGACTGCCATCGTCATTTTGATGCTAGCGGAACCTTAAACGCGATGTTTGACGAATTAGCTGGGCTTAGCTGAAAGGTCTCTGATGAGTCCCTTGTAGGGATAAAACATGCATATGTCAGGCTAGCCATCATAAGATTCTCGCTCTCAATTCGAGTTTTGACTTTTGCTGCAAAATGGTGTTTCGAGGTTCTGTCTATAAAGACGTACAAGGGCACGTTCACGACGTTTTCAATGGAAGTTTCTGATGTAAATATTACGTGAAATGCAAAGTCTAGACGGTAATTTCATTTCAAGTTGCAACAAGGAGACGAGAAAACGAGGGTTATTTTCCTTAGTCGAGAGAAATTAGAGAAAATTAAGCAAAAAGAGCAGAAAAGACTTCCAGCTCGTGTAACCAACGCAGGTATGCAGTTGTTTAAAGTATCCACAGCGAAGAATATCTAGTTCTGTAAGAGCCTTGATTTTCATTGGCTTTAAAATCGATGAAAATTATCGAAAGAACTGCAAGAGCATCCTGTTTAAATTAATAAATATTATGATAATGTAACCTCAGCAGTGTTTACGGCTCAAAGGCTAGTGGGGGCTGAGCAAACAACTGAAACAAATAATTCAAATTGAACATAACATTTTTAAGAATCCCAACTGGCTGGAGGCAAACCAGTTGGATATTTGAGATCTTGTTTTCTCTCTTTTTTTGCGCGTGAAATAAGAGCTGAAAAAAACATTGTGCTCTTGCAGGATAAAGAAAAACATAAGCGAGTCGATTGAGGTACGTGTTTGTGAGCTAGGCGCAATTTAACCGGGAGTGCGATATTTTCGGACTTCAAATCGGATCTCTTTAGGGTGACTCGTTTCCTGACTCTAGTGGGTATAAACAGATTGTGACTGTGGGTAAACTACTCGATGTTAATGCTTAAATAGACCAAAAAATCCTGTATGAATGCTACTAGTCGTCTTGTCTCTTGGAGGGCAAAAGCAGAAGGCAAAAGACTGGTCAGCGAATATTGCAAGGGTGTTTATGGCTCATACGGCCCCGAAACCATATTTTTCAAGGACTTCTCTAGGACAAATCTCAATTTCAAGGAATTGTTTTCCACATAATTAGACATAATGAGCCCCTATAAAATTCGAATGTACAGGATGTTTGCAAAGAAACATGCAACATGGAGACGAAACTGGCATTAATTTCGAAAAGGAGAGAAAATCATAAACCTCTGGGGGATACCCGTCAGGAAGGTCTGGTTTCTAAGGTTCAGTACCGGTCGAAGAGGTTGCAGCACGTACACGCACGTAAAATGCGTGTGGTATCCGTTAGACATTGCGTGTAAGGTGCGTGTAGTTATATTTTATATGCGTGTAAATTTTACTGATCTGGTAGTTACACATATTTGAGGAACGGGGGATTCGACATACACTCGATATGTCTCCCCGCCTTTCGAATTACCCCGGTGAGTCAAGGGTTTCTCGACCTTTCTGCCCCTGAATATACACGAGACTGATCATGAACACTTCCATTTATACAGCTATGCATTGCGCTCATTATGAAAGAGAATGCCCCAACTTCTTCAAAATGGCGGTTCGCAAAGGCTAGACCATGCTTGTTTCGAATTTGTCATGTTTTTTTTACAAGTGGTTACTGAAGACAACCGTACTTCAACTTTCAACGCAATATGAAACAAGTCAATCTAGCCAAGGTCCAGAGATAAGCATATAGATTTTGAAAATAAAGGAACAACGTTTCGAGATAAGCCTATAATTTTACATAAAACAACATCTTGTTTCAGCTTACCTGTGTTGTGTGTAGCTTGCGAAAAGCCCCGGTGCAAAACGAGTCATGAAGACCTTCCCTCAAAACAAGCGTTGCGACTCCATTTGCCAACGAAAGAACACAGTGTGAGGCACTGTCGAGTGTCTGAAAAATCCACGAATACCAAATATACTCACTTAAAACTTGCTGACAGTTGTTCGGTGAAGGACAAGACCAAAAAAAAATTCGCGAACGTACAGAATCGAGCCTGCTGTGTTATCAGCGATTCAATTAATTATTTAAAATTGTTGCCTTCTACATTAATGCCATGTGATGCTGACTTAGCACAGCGTCAAGTGAATGAGATTGCTGATTTGGGAACCCGTGATCGACGGGTGGAAGCATTATTTTTTTCCTTTCTTTTTTCTTTGTTTTTGACGAGATAATAAATAAGTGCTTTGTGTTTTTATCGTTTCGCTCGCCATATGCGCGTATACCGCGTATACAATACTTTTCAATGCGTTCTCCGAAAGAGAAAAAAGGCCTGATCGTTGATTCACTGCAATCCTTACAGGAGTGTTTTTTTCTTTCTTTCCTTTAGCTTATTTAGCCAAGTCAGAACCTGGATTAGCGGGATTCAAAACTGATTCTCTTGGACGGATGGCTGATTCAGAAGCCAGCAATGAAGGTTTTTATGTTCATAAATTCATAAAACGGTATCAGTTTTACTCATTGTCCCTTCCAAGTCGTTACTTGTTAGTATTAAATATGGAACAGGGAGTTACAATCATTGCGGCTCTTTTTGAGTCACAATTTTTATTCAACTGATGTTTACTTGTTTTGCAGCCACCTCTGGTGATACACCACTTGAACAGGCTCCTGTCGCTGAAAACCCCAAATGGTCAATAGATAGTGAAGTAGGCAGAGACTGGAGACGCCTGGGTAAAGCCTTAGGGCTTAAACCAGCGTTTTTGGATAATATTGATACTGATTTCAAAGAAAGCCCTGAAAAGGCACAGAAAGTGCTTCAAAAGTGGAGGCAAAAAAACGGAAAAGAAGCAACAATGGGAATCCTTATAAATGCTCTTGAAAAGATAGAAAGGAGAGACGTCGTCGAAAAACTGCGTGGTATGTAATCTCCTCTTGTAAAGGAAATCTCTCAATACCAGGTTTATCTAGATCTATTTACTTTCGTAACGAAAAACTGAACACCCATGTAGAAAAGATCTTCCAACGAAAGCCTTCGTGGCCTTGTCAAGGAGGCTTCATTTTAGATGTAGATCGCGCCGCGAACAGGTTTTAATTGTGCCTGCTGTGCCTTCCTTCTAGGATGGCCAGAAGCACTAGCTTCGTGGTACTGTGTCGTATAAGTCCGTAAACCTCCACCAAGCCCTTCGCGGGTTTCAAAATGACCAAGTATCATGAGATACTCACAACGTCTCTTGTGCTCGTCCCTCAGGCGGCCCAAAAGGGCTTTTCTCAAGTACGTAGAAAACCTCGAAATGGATAACGCGCTTAAATGGGTTCTTTTCATCAGAGAAAGCGGTCAGATAACGGGAAATTCGCTGTGGAAGTAAGATGAGGTATTTTTATTGAGAATTTGACGTATTTTTTCCTAAGAGCGGTCGTAAATATTCCCATACAGACTTTATAATTCCGCCTCGACTGTTATTGCGCAAGATGATCATCTCACAGCTGGAGCTTGGGCCGCCTGGGCTCGTCCTGGCTCAGCTGCGACACTGGCCTTCATCGAACGAATCTGATCGGGTTTCTTCGGATTAATTTTTGGTTTTGTCGGGTTTAGTTTAATGTCTGCTCAGGGTCTCATCTCTGCATTTTAACATTGTTATGGATTTGAACGTAAAAGATATGTCAAACGTTCTCACGTGTGCGTTTTACTCTGAACACTTCTAAACGTATCCTTCGAAGGACAGTGTAAATTGTGAGGAAAAAAAAGTAAAAAGAAAAGAAACGACAACATAAAGACAACGAAAAGTTGACTAGACCAGGGCTCGAAGCCTAAGCTCATACTTTCGGACTCGAAAGAGTAGGTACATCCATCGTGCTAGGTACGAATAGCGTGCAAACATTGGTGAAGTTTTGTGTTAAAATACATTTGACGCACATTTAATACATGAACCTATTCAATTAGTTTCCTACCCTCGGCCTGTCAATTTACCAGTGTACAAAGTTTTTTCTAGCCAAGTCCTCCTTTTGTCGCAATTTTGGCATCGACAAGAGCTTTTCATTAACACCTTAACATTTTATACCACGTTGCTCTTTTACTTCAATATTTGACAACTCTACAATTGTACAACAGTAGGCTCATGCGGTGCCTTTTATATTTTAAAAATTACACCAAGAAAGAGGTACCTAATTAAACGTAGCCTTAAGTTAAAGAAAACCAAAGTTAAAGCAAATGGAATCTTTGCTTGCAGAAGGTAATAGGTTGTGAGGTCCATCGACGTGTCTGCGCACAGTCTCTCAGGTTGTAGCATTGTCGTGGAAGCTTAAAGCCCTTAAACTCGAGTTAGATCTCCTCAAATAATTGAAGAAATTGAACCAGTCCACCACTGCAATTGCATATGCTAACATTTGAGTAATTGTTAGGGCAATGTTAACGGCTTGTAAAGCCAGCAACCTTACTACCGTGTAAATCTGCAAATATTTTGCCTCTTTGCATCTAGGAACGGGAAATGTGAAGAAAAGGTTAAGCTGCGCTCGGGCACTAAGTGGGAATTTACAGAGAAAACTGGAAAATTAATATTTCGGGAAGGTTCTATGTGTAAATATCCAAGGATAGAGACAAATTTCTCGCGGCTCGAAATTTTTGCGAAGTTAAAGTACTAAGAGCCTGAATGTAGCGAAAACAATAGGACAAATTGAACTATTCATACATGTCCAATAAAATGCCAGTGCAAACAGAAATCTTATTTTAACCCAGTATTAAGTTACCTTCCTGAAAACTTTTTACTTTATCATTTAAGAAAGAGCTTACTGTAACCTTGTTACCTTCGGTTAACATTTGCAAATTTCCTTCCACTATCTAACTAGATACAGAAAAAGTGGAGGCCGGATTGAACTCCGTTCGAACTGCAAGTGGAAAGTTACGAAAGGACGTTAAACTTTTAAAGGAAGAAATACAAAACGTGCAACAGATTCATAACGAAACACGGAAAGAACTCAAAGAATTAAAAGAAATCGTGTACAAAATACAAACAGCAACGGGAGATGAAGAGCGACAGCACATGGAAACTAGGGTGCAACGCAGAGAGACAACAATTGAACGGCTTGACGAGCAGGATCCAATGCAAAGATTGACTCGATTGGAAGAAATTTACGGCAGGATTGACGAGGATCTGCGTGTTGTACAGGACAGCATCAGAATAGTCTCTGAAAACCAAAACGCGGTGGTTGGAATGTCATTCGAAGCCGACAGGAATGCATCAGATGAACCAAATGAGAGCCAACAGGGGGAAACCACATCGGCAGATCCAATCCAGAGAGACACAATACGGAGGGATTGGCAGAACCAAAGATACAATGAACCTATTATACGACCTTTGCTTGACGGTAGGCTTATTCTACACAAGTTATTATCAACAAAATTTGTAATGTTCTGTCCGAGAGACGTCGATGGAGTGAGATAAACGAAAACGAGTTAATTCGAATTAAAAATTTTCCTTTTAATTTCAAAACATATCTCTCAACATTCCCATGCGCATGTTCAGTGTGCACGAAATACCGAAATACAGCATTCTCTGAACACCCTTCCTAAGATTTCAACTGAAATTGGACGATAAATGAATCACTTAGTGATACTGTAGTTCGCTGATCCTTTTTTAAGTTCATTTAAAATTTTTTAGCACGAAGTTCAATAGATTATATGTCAATTATTTATGCAATCGTTGATTGGGTTTAAAACCTCGTCATTTCATCTTCATCTTTGGGTATAAAATAAGTTACCTTCATTTTTTCTCTAAAGTGTTCAATGGATATAATTGTGAACGTTATTTTCTTACAGATGTTGATCGAATACCGGCCTAATTTTCCTTGTTTCGAAAACATAACTGAATTTATCATCGTTAGAAGTGATGATTTCTATGTCGTCATAGTGACTGAGCCTACTGGCATCGCGGTTTTACTCACGAAAGTTTTACCTTTTAATTTTTCAATTAATACCGAGGTCAAACTCAACTTTTGTTAGGAGAATGTTTTATGTTATGCAATCTCTGCAACACGTTTGCTAAACGATTTCTTTGACTCAAATTTGTAGGATATGAAAAGGAACTCAACGATGTGGAAGGAGAAAGAGATTCACTGAAAACCAAATCTGGTAAATCAGACCAAACGAACAAAAGACAACTGGAGAAGAAAAGAAAGTTAAAAACAAATAATAAACAAGTTAAAGAGGAAAGAAACGAAGCCATTGAACCAAACAAAGCAATGGTGGAGCAGATTCAAAAGCTTGAAGCCGAGAAAAAGGAGCTCGAAATGACGTTAAATGGTCAAACCGATCTGAAGACTGAAAATAAAGAGCTGTCGACTCAAATAGAAAGGCTGACAAAAAAAGCAAACAACTCTGAGTTTGAGTGCAAGCGGCTACAAGAGGAGCTCAAGACGTACATAAATTACCAAAGTCGTAAGTACACGAAAGAACTTTTTAAAAGATAGTATTGACTTTCCATCTTTGGCCAATCTGCTTTAGTATAAAGTGGTACAGCCTTGCGCTATCTCTATTTACGTATCTGTCATATTAGCTTAGTTTTTCTTTAACCCCTTCTTTTCGTTAAGCACATTTTTCGCTTATGTTGAATTATATACATATGGTAAGGGAAGACAAGGCATTTTTTTCTTTTAATGTCATCTATCTTACTTTCGTTTCCACTTAGGCGTTTTCTTACCAGCTGGAAAGGAATTTGCCGGCATATGCACTGGTGTCATCTGCTTCCTAAAACAAAGATTGAGAGATGCACCCAGCGCTGAACTGATTGCATCCAGATCTTCCGATGGCCCTGGAGATGGGGCTGACGTATTAAACCATAAGACAGGCACCGTCAGTGGGACAGAAGAAAAGAAAAATTCGTGGTGGTCTATTGATCTGGGCTCAAGCCATCGGCTTGTGATCACACACTACGCTTTAAGGCACGGCAAAAGAGAAAAAGAGTCACTGCTAACCCAGTGGCAACTGAAGGGATCAAATGATGGGAAGCACTGGGAAAACATTGAAACTATTCACGACAAGAATGATCCACAGTTCAAAGACCCTACTCCATTTTGTACAGGCAAATGGTCTGTCAAAGGGGAAATAGGGCCTTTTCGTTTTTTTCGAATTTTCCAGACAGGTGTTAATTCCTCTGGCAAATATGGAATATACCTATCTGGAATTGAGTTGTACGGAGTACTTCTGAACATGTGTGAGCTAGGAGCTATGGAGGCTTTATCCTATAAAGTTTTCATCAAGCAGCCGAAATAAAAAGTAAACTCTCAGAAAGCAAGGTCTTTGTACGACCCCCCATTAAAAGTGTCTTTGAGGGGCCACATAACTTTTTCTCTTTTATCTCTTATATTTTTATTCAGAGTGTGATGTTTCCTTCGTTTTGCTACATTCAGACTATTGCAATTCGCTGTTGGTTTTAAATGAAATGTAAGTTAAAAAAGTAAGAAGATTGATTATTTTTTCAAGGGTATGGCAAATCAATATTTTATAAGCAGTTACAAGAAATTGTAGACATTGAAAAGCAAGATAATGATAACGAACATTGAAAAGTAAGATGATCAGTTAGTTGTCAATGTTGCAATAGTATCTTTGCAAATGATCTTCTAACACAACCTAAGCGACAGAGTGTTGATCTTAGCTTGCCCGAGTTTATATTGAAGAATTCGTTTAGATAGGAAGTTGCTAGTTTATAGAATTCTTCAAAACCCCGTAATAGGGAAGAACTATCAACGTTTTTTTTAATAGTAATAAGGACTGTAGCCTTTAGAGTGCTTTGTAGATTGTCAGGTTTTTTTAAAATTATTTTCTACAAGATATTTTTGTCAGCAAGTAACTGGTTTAAACACGTCGCTTGAGTGTTTATACCAGAGTTATTCCCCAATATAAACCTTACATTAAATACGATAAAAGTCGATAACTCTTAAGACTAGGTATACCTATCGATAGAGTGCCAACGAGCGATCAATTTGTGGTTTGATAAGGGGGTTTATGCTGAGGCATAGTTTTTTTCAATTGATAAAAGGGTTTTTAATAAGAGTAACATGGAAACTGTACTAAGGTTTTAAGGGCTTGGTAATATTAACCAAGTCATTTAATAACTTGAACATGTGAAAGGATGTGAACAGTTCTTGTTATTAATGTAACATTATAAAGAATAACAAAACAAAGAATATGAATTGTGTTGTATTGTATAACTGTTGCTTTGAAAGAGCATAAAAAAACAACACTGAATTTTTCAGTTACAATATGTTGATTGAAGCATATAGAAGGGGTTTTGGTTAGTACAATGTTTGTGAACAGAAACATACATGCACTAGTCTTTGCGAACTTAGTAATCTTAAAAAAAGCATGTGAACTTGAACGTGAAAACCGATGTGAATGGTTTTCTGCTATTAATACATCTTGAACATCAATAGCATGGTAAGAAATAAGATTAACTTGTTTCGTATGTATGCTTTCAAATAACAGGTAACGTAACATTGAATCAGAACATGGTAATGAAAGTTTGTTGAAGTCTCGATACTTAAGTGTGGTAAATAAATATTTTAGTCGGTTGTCTGGCTTTGTTAATTCTGTACTGTAGGACAGTTTAACTTGACAGTGAAGATGATGATATTTCAGTGATCACTTTTCTGTTGACATTATATTTGAATTCTATGTCTTGAAGATCCATAAGTAGTTCTTCAATTGTGTCCGAGTCACTAAGTAATGAGATTGTCGGGTGGGTGGCGAAGAGGGACTCCAAGACATCTGTAAATGCTGTTAACCAAATGTCTTTTTCATACAAATGTACAAGTAGTGGAACAAATGCATCTCGTTTGCATTGCATCTTTCTTTGTCGGACTCCACAGTTTTTACATTTGAGTGTGTTCTGTTGGGAGATTTCATTAATTTTACGTTTGCATGCTTGGCAGGTGATGAAAATGCTTAGTTTGTTGATCATTTTGAAGCTCTCTACTTTTGCTTATTTCTCTGGATTTGCAAGTAATGCAGGGCCATTTATAGGTTTCAGTTGTTGATTGGCTTGTTTAAACGTTGTTGTAGGGGTTGTTCCCAGATGAGTGATCCCCTGGAAGTGCTTTACAGTAAGGTTTTCAAACTCATATGTGATGCCAGTTTTGATGTTCTTGAAAAGTGGATCCCATATATGAATAGTAGCAGTTCCAGTTTCATCCTCCAGGACACAGTCTTCCTTTACAGTTGTCATTTCACTTGAGGATTTCAATTGAACAGGTTTAGGGTTTTCATTTCCCAGTGAAATGGAAGCAGTGACATTTACTTTCTGATTGACTTGGAGTGTGGGGAGCTCCTCAAGTGTAATCTTCCTGGCAGGCTGAGTTGAGGGCTCAGTCTTTTGGGATTTGTTGATGGGTTTGTAATCAAAATCAATATCAAAGGTTGGTGTTACCCTTACTGTTGATTGCTGGTTGAATATGATGTCATTGTTGCTGTTTTGCTTAGTGTTTTTGAGGGTTACAGCTGTTTTTGATGCTTCATGTTCTTGTAGCATGGAGTGGTTTGCAATATTAAATCCTACAACTCGTCTCAATTTTGATGGGCTGGTTTGTAAATCAAAATCATACCACTGATTTTGATTTCGTGAGCGTTTTATAGGACTCAAATTCTGAATGTAGCCACGGTGATTATCTAAGAAAGAGGAAATAAAAACTGAAGTTAGACATGAAATGTTGATCACAATAAGTTACTGCATCTTTTAATAACATGTGGACTGTAAAATTCATAACTCAATTAACAAATTTTTTTTGGTACTGTCAATCAAATGTTCTACAGCTCTTTGCAGCTCGTGACTACTGTCAATTGTGCAGTAATCAAATCAAATCAAATCAAATCAAATCAAATCAAATCAAATCATTCAGCACAGTTCAGACAGCAGAAGTTGGGAGGAGCCACCAAAGATCTCAGTGACGGTAGTGAAATTGCGTTTGTCAGTAAGGTTTGAATTTTAGAAATGGCAATATATTTTTTGTGTAGATGTAATCTAGTATGGTGAGGCCAGACGAAGATTTTGTAACAAAAATTACAAGGGGTTGTTTCCTTTCAGCAGTTCTTGCTCATTCAATCTCCCTCCCCACCTACTTTCCAAGTGAAGAAAACAGGAATATGGAGAACCACAAAAAACCAAACATTGTAAATTAAAGCTACAGGTACTTACCAGAGTTTGTATTTTCTTTTGACATGATTGACTGACAGGAGATCTGGAAACTGAAGAAAGAGAAAATTTTCAAACAGTGCAGAAACATTTTTTTTAATGAAATATCAAAGATTTTGTAAGCAGAAAGCACTGACAATGCATTTCCTTTTTTTTAGAGTAGAATATGAAATGTGAAATGTTTGTTGAAAATATTTGGAACCAGTCACCACAGGGATACAAGATCAAAATTGTACAAAGTTGATTTTGAATTGTAATTGACTTTTTATCTTTTAATCTTAAGTGTAAAAGAAATATTTATGCGTGCATTGATCGCTTTGATTTGTTTAAAAGAGTATGACATATACGAAAATGTTTTTTTTAAGATATTTTGAGATGTGAATTCAGTGTTTCATTAGCCAACATATCAAGACGGTTTTCTTCTTCTAATCTAAACTTAAAGTTAGTAGACTTTTTGACCGCTTGTAACCTCTCTAGTGTCATTGGCTCAATAAGAAGATCTTGTATTTTTTTTTACCCTGCTTAAAGCAACATATGTAATTCCAGGAGATCTTTCTGATGATCCTAAATCAATCCCAGCTTTAGAGAGGGTCAGACCTTGACATTTATGAATTGTCATCGCCCAGGCTAATTTTAATGGCAATTGCTGTCTCTCATATTTTTTCTCATTTTTTTTTCTGAAACTTGGGTGATGGGACAAATTGGGACACATCTTTGAAACAGAGAAGAAACTGATGGTCCTTTATATTCATCATCAAATTGAACCAATACACATATTGGAAGACATGGAGGTCGTTGTCCTTCAGCATACACAAAGTCAAGTACTGTGCCTAATGCTCCATTACAAAGGCCAAAATCAATCCATAGATTCATCGTTAACATTACTTTTGCTCCTTTTGATAAGTAAACTATAGGTTCAAGGCCTCCCATGTCATCAGCACTAAGTGTTTGTGCTCCAATAGAGTGACGAGCTTTAATTATTGCTATTGGTTGACCCAAGCTTTTAAGTCTACTGATGTTTAATTCTGCGACTTTTTCCTTATGATAACAAATTCTTACAGAATTATTTTCAAACTCATTCACATTGTGCACTTTGTCCGGTGTTCTGGAAATTAAAGAGTTCCAATCTGATTCAGTTGATTCACCATGGCGAGCTCGGGTTAGCATTTCTCTAAAATTGGATTGTTCAATATTGTTTCCTTGAACTCGTTGATTAACTGTCAATTTAACAACTTTCTTGAATTCATGATATAGGAGAAAACCTTGAATTTGGTTTGTCACGTACTGGTGGTAACTGAGCTATGTCACCGACAAGAATGACAGATATGCTGCCAAATGTCATGTCTGTTCGTCCAGTAGCTTGTCTGCAACGACTATCAATCCATCCGAACAAACTCTGGCCAACTAAAGAGTATTCATCTATTATTAAATATTGAACGTTTTCAAGGTTACTTTGCAGTTGTTGCAAAGGTATTCCTTTTAAATCACAATGTCTCTTTGAACCAATAGGTAATTTTAGCAGTGAATGTAGCGTTACTCCATTGACATTGAATGATGCTTTTCCAGTGTAAGCTAAAACCTTACATTTTTCCTGAAGCAAATTTCTTAAGGAATCAATGAGATAGCTTTTCCCTGTTCCTGCTACATCCATAATAAGAAAGCGCAAGGGATTTTGTTCACCACTGGCAAAATGATTGGAAACTATTTGATAAGCTACTTGCTGCATTCTACTAAAAGTTGAAGTATCTATGATTCTTGTTTCACAGGAATGGTGAGCACTATTCTTGTTTTTCTCTCTGTTTATCCATGTAGGCATTGCATTTATCTCATCATTTGTGAAATACTGATACACTTGATGCCAATATGCCTGTGGTACAGGTGTAGATTTCTCACAAGTATCAGTTGTTTGAATAGTCAACTCTGCCATAAGCATCCACTCTTCTCTTTCGATTCACTTTTGGTGTTGTAATCTTCTTCAAAAGAATCCTCATTCAAAGGTGTTATGCATATGTAGTTGTTTACATCTTGCATTTTGGTTTCCCAATCAGGGACTAAGGATTTTGCAGTATCAGTTAGCAAGAATTTTTTCCAACATGTTGTGTATGTCTCATCAGCCTGTGGAAGGTTATCCCATGCATCATCCGGTGTATATTGCCAGGGTTTGTATTTAAGCAACTGATATTTACAAAACAAACCATAATCTTCACTCTTTGGATTGGATGAATAATTAGGATAGGTTTTGACAATTACAGTTTTGTCTCTTTGTTTAAGTTTAGAAGCTTTGAGAGTAAACGTTGATGCAAACTTGAAAAAATTGTACTCTAATAACTGCGGGTCTACCTTGAGATACTTGTACCGTTCAGCA